TCTGTGTTTCTGTGTTTCTGTGAAAAGCAGAAATGATCCTTTAAAGGATTCCTGAAGTAATTTTTTAACCATAACTAAAATGTCCTGAGAACGATTTGCAGGCAAAATATCCTCAGTTCCTATTGCCTGTAATTGTGACATAGAAATGTGGTTTATGACTTCTTGGGTACACAAATGGAAAGATTTCTTGTTTTTTAACTAGTATTTTACTATTTTCACTTAGTTGACTCATGACTTAATTTAGCTTTTAATGCTGAATTACTTAGTATTCTGTTGTTCATCTTTGAAAGACTTTAAACTAAAAACGAATTTTTTCAAGCTTTAAGTTAGACTTTCAGCCTGAGTTTATCTGTAGGTGAAAGCCTTTGCATGTGAAAAATGGATAGAGTCTGAGCATCTTTGTTGAAGTGCTCAGATTTCTGTAGGCAAAAATGCTCATACTGTATGCATAAAACCAGTCTGAGAGTCTCTGAAAATGTAACTATTTGAGAATCCTGTAGTACGCAGGAAAAACTTATTTCTGATTTTTTTTTAATATATGATTTTTTCCTTTTGCGTGGCTAGCATTTGATGATAAGGGGACTTCTGCCGTTAGCATGGTTGGCCGACGTTTGACCTATGGCAACGAATGTGGAGATTATGAGGACAAGAAGCAAGGAGAAGTGTCACGTACTATTTTTAAAAGTCAATATATGGAACGCCAAAGGAATTTTAAGCATTCAAAAGGTTTGTCAGTTTGCTATATCGCTGTTCATGTGAGCTCTTATTTATGGAAAAAACTGCGGCTATGTAGAGCCTTCTGTAAACCAGGTTTTATAGAAAATATGTTTTAAGATGTTTAGCGTGGTTTCCTCCTTTCTGATCTTTATGCTTATGTTAACAAGTTGGGTTTTTTCCTGACATTAGCTGAAATTAGACTGCCAATTAAATTAAAATTAAAAGTCAAGCAATAGTACATGGCATGAAAAAGGGACCAATTTGTTATATATCTCGGTGTGAATAAAGGAACAGCTTTAAAAGTTTGCTTTTAAATTACTGTTGTTCATTGGTAAAACGAAAGAACTTAACCCATTATACTTTACATGTCAGTTTTAACTGTGTCGTTTTAATGCATCCCAGGAGCTACTCTTCCCTACATCAGAATTGTGGAGTGCATGATACAGATGTGTTTTCCAACTCTAGGGTTGTTAGAATAGAGCAGCAACAATGGTGACGTCAGTTTGAGGAGCATATATTTTCACTGTCTGTTGTTCAGATCTCCCTCAGAGTGCCTAAAGCAGATAATGCGTAATCATGTTTTAGTGACAAATAGAAAATTAAATAGACACTGAATAATGAAGAAGATCTTTGTCCCAATAAGATTTTTTTTTTCTTTTTTCTGTCTCTTGTTTCAACATCAAACATGGACAGTTTTGTTTATTCTCCAGGTTTTCGAGAAATGGTGGAGTGCTATTTTATGTGAAACATTTAAAGCTGAGCAATAGGAGTAGACTTTATAATCAGATTTGTAAATCCTTCTTTTTTTTTTCGTTAACACCTGCTAATCCTGTGATGCCTGTGAAATGGAAGTTTGTAAGTTTTTTTGGGCTAGAAGCTGAGGTTAGGACAGAAGGTCCTGATCTGGAGGTAGGTCCCAAAGAGGATCCAGTATTTGATGCCCGTTCACTTATGGTCTAAGAGAGAATTGCTCAGGAATCCTCAAGATTATATATTCAGGAAAATCCCAAACGCCTAATTTTGACAGTTCTCGAATGTTAAAACTTGGAAGACTCAGAAGCCAATGATTGGGTTTGTGGGAGGACAAAGGAACGCTTTCAAGAGAAACCTTTTCGCTTGATCTTTCTTCTCATAAAGCATAAAAAGGAGAGCTCCAGAATTAAAACTATGTAGTCAGGTAATTTGTAAAGTAGAGAGGCTTCTGTCATACTCTTCACTGTGATTAGTTTTGGCAAGCTAAAGATCGAGATGAGTGCAGAAAGCGTAACAGAGCTGTCAACAGCCCCAAATGATTGAGCTGCTGCAGCTTGCCTGGTAGTGGGCATTTTACAGCAGCCGTAGACGTAGGCAGAGGGCTCGCAGTTGACCGGAGCGTTTCTCCACGGAGATGGTTCCGTAGCCCACTGACTTCGTTTGTGCACTTTCTAGTATGTAATCAGGCTTTGCTAAAGCATCTTTTCTGTTTAGAAGTTTCAGATTCATCAGGTTGAATCGCAAAAGCAAATTCTGCCCTTGTGTCACAAACTGTCATTTTTATTTGCAACTAGTGTAGCCAGTCTAGAAGTACGTAATGTATGTCATACACTTTGGTGAAGAACTTGAGGGACTGCTAAGTTATAAGGGAAACAGCATTAAGTGCTGCTTGGGGGAAAAAAAGTGTTGTAGCAAATTCTGTTTTGATTCAATTGTGCTGAATTATGTAAGAAACAGTGCTGTACTTCCAGTGAGTGAGTTAGAAACTTCTGGGTTTTTTAGTGGAATAAGCTGATTTAAAAATCCTCTTTCAAACATTGGTTTTCTTTATGATCTTTTGGCAGAAATTTTGTTTGCTATATGCTTTCCGTGATTTTGAGGAGATCAATATTTAGTAAATCCACTTTAATTAACTTCAGTAACTTGGAAGTATACAGATTCATAAAAGTGACACATTCAGATGGCAGTGTATGGTGACATTTGAGAAGAATAAAACATAAACTACATGATTTACATTGCATGATTTTTTTATTTTTTTTTTAAGGTCTTGCAGAGTCAACTTCTGATGTTGCACAGATGAACAGTCTAGATTTCATTTCACCAAGTGTCCTGTCTGAAGATGCAGTTGTAATTGTTGGTAAAGGTATTACAAAACCCAAATTATCTCCTATATCTCATCACGTTGTTAAAATGAGGGAAAATGTACCTTTGTAGAGTGAGAAAAGAAGAAATTGGTTCCCTACAACATTTTGGATTGTTCACAATCTGCAGTGTAAATGGGAATAAAAAGAATGGCGCTTGAAAGTTGTGGAGTTACTAGATACGCTGTTGCATTCCAACAACAAAGAATGGCAGGAAATGATGGAGGTTAGGTCTTGGTTCTGGCCCACTGTGTGCACACCTCCGTGCATCCATCCTACTTGGCAGACGAAGAGTAAGAGTACTTTTGGGTAGAAATTGGCACTAATAGTATAACTGCAATGTTTTGAGCTTCTTGAATTACTCTTGGTTTTCTCTAGTTTTTACTAAGTTCTGCTGAATAAAATGGTTATTTTGGGGAGGGCACAACATGATATGCCTTGCAGGTGTTTTTGGAAGTCCTCCTTCTGCACCAACAAACAGCCAGTCCATAACATGTGTAGTGAATGGGGATGACCAAGCTGTCAAGGAGGGAACTGAGCCATCGTCAGGGATCTGTGGGAGAAGCATCCGGCAGAACAGTGCTTCCCGTTGCCATGTTGAGAATGAACAAGAGGTAAGAATTTCAGAACTTTTTAGTTGTCTCGCTTTCTGTTTTTATATGTATCGCTACAGCTCGCGACAGCTTTGCAGTCTCTATGTTATGGTAAAGAAGAGTTTGATTAAAATAGCCCATCGCCATCAAGGTGCTTCTCCCTGCTTTTTCTTTTTGGTTGCACCTGGATATTTTATAACGGCAAATTGCTGTGCCAGAAACTTCCCACCTAACTTGGAAGTCTCTGGGAAAAGGGCTGCAGGGAGGAGTGGAGCTGGAAAATGTCCTCTTCTCTGACTCCCACAGCACGTAGAAATGTGGAAGGAGGAATTGGCTGGGTTTGATCATGTCTTGTTTTTTCGATGGACGTATTAATCTAGCTCCATTCGTGAGTTGTTTTAAAAAACACTGTCTGAATGTCTGTCGCATAATATGGTTTCATGAGGAGTGCTGCTGCTTTGTTAACTACTATTTGCATCTGTTATTATGTGGAGCAAGATTTATCTGAATCAAGTGCAATACAAATTTTAAAAAATTTGAAATGAAAATCACAAATCTTTCTGAAAGCATTTAAAATAACATTTTAAGATGACTAAAACTTTAAGTTAATGATAAACAGTGTCTTAATTTTCTGATTTCTGCTGAAGATATGAGTACTTGGAGGGATCAAAGTCAAAGGAGTAAATGGAGGAATGTATTAAATGTTATTAAGTTTTCATGAGGAACTGCAAGAGTCTTAAACATGTAAGAGAGTAGGGTCAGATCACACTGTTAAAGCTCACTGTTTTAAAAAAACCCTGTGTGCTTAAATGTGAGCGAGTTAGCCCAGCCTGTATATTTGTTAGTTAAAATTCTAGGAAACTACGCAATTCTGCCAAGGACTAGAAGACCTTTTTTTGTAGACCTTAGTTCTCTTAACTGTTCAGCTATTTTAGAGTAAGTGATTATTTCCCGTAAATGTTTAAACCTGGGACGTTGCTCCTTTTTGCCAGCAGGTCTACTTATCATGCAGAAAGCACACATTCAGCTCTTTTCAGGATTAGATTTCATATTTCTGTGAATAATTTCCTTTTGCTCTGTAGAAGAGTGGTGAAAACAGTAATTTTCCATGCTTACCTTAGACAATATCAAGTACTGGGTAATGAGTTGTTGGGTAACTTGTGGATTATATTATATTCCATGTCATAATGGGTGCATTAATTTTTCTCAGATAAAAGTTGTCATGTCAAAATCTGCCCAGGATAAGATAAGGCAGAAGAAAAAAGGAAAAGAACACACTCATGAAGAGCATCAGGAAGTTAAAGACCTCAAAGGAAAGGAAGAAAACCCTTGGGAAAGACTTCAGCTGAATGAATGGGAGAAAATGACAACAGAAAGTGAGGATTAGTGTTTGTCTTCAATGAATAATATACTGTTAAATGCTGCTGAAAGGGAAATGAAAATGCTGTGTTAATTACCAAAAATCATGAGTCTTTAGTGTGACATGAGGGATTACTAGAATTGATTTTACACAGGAGCTTGCTCTTTAGTCATTTGTTGTCAGGTTTATAATGCAGATGGTGGAGAGTGAAGTGCTTACAGGAAATATTTGAAGTACTGTAGTTAGGAAAAATTTCAAAAGAGAAATTAGGACTGGAAATGCTAGGGTTTGGCTTTTTTCTGATGTTTTGTTGTTGTTGTTTGGACATTTCCTTCTATATTCTAGAGTTAAATCTCTGTGGGGATATATTGACATTATCGACCAATGTATCTTTGTCATTAGGAAATGTGACCTTGAATCCCTCGTTAAAAAGAACATCCAGTCTGAAGAAGACAAAATGTTCAGCCTGGCTAGACTCTGGTAAGCTGTCGTGGTAGACTAAAGACTGTTAAAAAGTTTGGGTGTGTGGAGTGGGGCAGTTTCAAAATGCAGTCCGGTTTAATGTGATTTATTTGGACAATGGATGGTCCTGAGGCACTCTGGAAGAGTAGTACCTTGGGGGTGGTGGTGAAGGGGGTTTGAATTCATCGTTGCTCCCTTGCAACATTTTTCATCTGTAATTTGTTAGGAAGATGTTTGAAACATGAGAGGGTTTTGGGTTTGCTCGGCAACTTAAATGATGTAATATATGAATGGCAAATTGACTCCCTTCTGTCTCCAAGAAAAACATTTCGGGGTACATTTGGTCACGGACATGCCTTTAAAATATGCAGTAGAAATCTTTCCAGAACAAAAGCTCATACTGATGATGGTCAAAGGTCTCCAGAATTTCTCAAGTGGCTTTTGAAGTTTTACTCCGTTGTGTCTTACTACACTGTGTTTTTAGCACATTGTGCATCTGTTTTTACATGAAACAACCCACTGCACGTGTGTTTGTGACTTTTTAAAGCGGTGGTTGTTTGCAAAAAAATTGATTCACATGAATGAAATGCTGAACGATCAAGGATGTAACTGGGAAGGCTGTCGTTCTGAAAACCTGGTCCCTTAGTAGCAACAGTCTATACCTCAAACTTTTGATATTTCCTTCCTTTGGATGAATTAGTTTCTTCAGATTACGCTGATTATTTCTTATGCCTCATGATTTAGCAGATGAAATTTCTCTTGGGGCACGAGGAGGCTCTAAAGACCAGACTCCCTCAGTCACTCATAGCCCAGAAATAAAGGATGCATCAGAACTGCAGCCCTTTTCAAAACCAGAAGCGGCACTGACAGAAGCCTTGACACTTCTAGCTGATGGTGTCTGGTAGGTGTAAACATCTATCTACAACCTGACCGTAATGTCGAAGGTGTTTATTTTGATAACTTACTTTAATAAATGCAGCAAAGTGGACATAACATCAGAAAGAGTGAGAAGGACTGCAAGGGCTATTTGAGAAAAAAAGAAACAGCTTTTTTTGGCCCAAATCAAAATCCCGCTGGAACTGTTGTAAATTGAGGCTGAATAGCTAAGCTTTCAGAGGCTTGTAGAGATGTCTCAGTTTAAGCACTCTCCTGGAGAGGGCCCCCACCAACACCTTCTTGTCGCTTTCTGTGGGATCTAAGGCTTCACTGTGCTCTGACTGCTGGAGTGGGGTTACAATGCTGCTGCCTTTTCAACTTGGGGAAGGAAAGTAATCCTTGAATTGCCACTAGTGCAAGCTGCGGACGGGACTGTAGGAAAGACCTGAGAGACTGGTATGCTAAAATAGTCCTACTACCACATTAAAAGGAAGACTCGCTTTGAAGGAATTTCCTACGTTATATGTCATTGCTTTATTTTTACAATCTAATTTGTTTGCTCTTTGGTTTCTTAAAATTCTGTCTTTCAATGTTTTTAAGAAAATTTGCAAATGGTTTGAATGTAAATATTTTTTTATATATAGGGAGAAGAAAATGGAAGGTCTGAACTTTGTTAGATGCTTGTCTGCCTACCACGCGACTCATCTGACTGGAAAGCTACATGAAATAAGTTCGGCTGTGGCTCAAGAGGTTAAATTTTACTATCAGACTATTTCACTGACTTTATGTGTGCATACGTATTTTATAGCTCTCAGATAGACTGAAGTGAAATGGTACGTTCACCTGCGGTTAGTTTTCCTCTGTTGGACAGTCTCAAAAGGATGAGTTTGTCACTCAGCAAAGCATACTTCAGATACCAACGCTTGATCTGATTTGCGAAGAGACTGAAAAGATTCCGATTGTAACTTTATAACATTTTCCTGTGTATGTATTTTAATTCTCGCACATTGTGAATCAAGTTAGAAATGTATTTCTCAGTTGCTTTTAATGTTACTTAAAACTTACACAGGGAAACATTAAGCTTGACTTAATGTAAAGTCTATTTTCTAAACATTATGCATTGTTTGTTTGGGTTTTTCCTGTGTGCAGGTCAAGAATTTACGCTCCACCGTGTCTCGAGCTGCTGTGGTCTGTTTAGGGGATTTGTTCACCTACCTGAAAAAGAGCATGGATCAAGAACTAGATAATACAGTAAAAGTCCTTTTGCACAAAGCTGGTGAATCCAACACATTTATAAGGGAAGAGGTAGACAAAGCCCTGAAGGCTATGGTTAATAATGTGACTCCAGCACGTGCACTTTGTTCTCTCATAAATGGAGGGCAAAGGTAATTCTTATAAAGACTTTATAAAGCAATAAGTTGTGAATAGATTAAATTTATCAAGTGTAGTCTCTTTTAAAAAAAATCACAGTAGGCAGAAATTTGAAAATACAGTAAGTCAGGTCTGCGAAGCCTTCTCCCCAGGGCAACGTTTGTTGGCGTAAAAGTAAAATGTCGCCTCCGTGTTTCTTTCTGTACATTACGTAAAAAGTCGGCTGTTGATTTTGGAGCTTGGTATAGGTTCCGGTCATTTTGCTACACTTCAGTAATTTTATTTGCTGTTAGTATAGTATTCTTAGGAAACTGCTATTTGGCTTTGCCTAGTAAAGCTCACATAGCATTCTCATTTTGCATCTGCTCTGCAATCAAATGCCTCTTTTTCAGTTGTCAGCACTGCTTTTTAGTTTGAAAGATGACTTCTAACTTACCATTCTCTACCTGCAACTCTCACTGTTGATTTCCTATTCTTCTCTAGACTTAGCTGGTTAACAATCTTTTTGTCTGCATTTTAATTTCCTTTACAGTGGTGGTGGCCATTATTTTCTTGAGTACCTCAGACATGAGAAGCCTCCGTTTCTGGTTGCATGGTTTGATTCTGACCTCTAGCTCACCTCAGTCTGTAGGAGAAGTTACATTTCCTTTCTTTCGCTCTACCTGTTAAGTATGTTGTTCTTTTTCCTTTATGTCCTCATTCACCGTAACAGCAACGCTTCATCAAGCCCTTAGGCATTCCAGTACGTTCGAGAGATGTATAGACCTACTTATACTGCCTCTTTTATCTCTCTCTCATCACTTAGGTGACATTTAATAGGCTGCATCTCTTGTAGGCTATCCCTTCCATTAAATATTTCAGATGCTACATTAGAAATCAATCCTTAGACTTTCTGCACAGCTAGAAATCGTAAGAGTTAGTCTTGATTCAAAATGTTTTGTTTCCCATTTTGTTTCCTGGGAAGCTGGTTGTTGTGGAATATATTGATTCTGTCTCCTGAAAGCCAATGAGAACCGTACTGCAGTAACCTGCACTTTAAACTGAAAGGCAAATATCAGCCCTGGGATTTAAATTATTTATGACTCGTGCCCGCACATAGTTGTTTTTGTGAATTTAAGAGCAGCAGACAGTAACTACACCTTGCTTTAATGCAGAAGCCACGTAAAGTGGTCTGTTCATGTACCCCCATCTTTTCTTCAGAAATCCTTGGCCAGGCAATACTTGTGCTCCTAATTGGCTACGTCTGATCTCCCCATTTTCAGCGGCAGGTTCCAACACACTGACCTATCCTTACGAGTTTTCTAGACCTGTAAAGATTTGACCCCTCCAGTTTGTGAACTCGGATACATTTTCAGCTATCTAAGACACCAAAATGATCTGAGCTGTGAGTCTGAATACAGCATTTGAGGCAGGGATTAACTTCTTCACTGCTAAGAAGACTTCAGTCAAAGTGGTGTCTAAATCACGGAGTACAGGATGCTTTGAATGCCTCACTCCTCAGTGGATGGCCCCAATAGCACTGTGAGTTACAGCTTCTCTAGGACTGGCTTCAGGAAACTCTGGCCGTATTAGCAACAAAGTCTATGCAGCACATATGGAGCTATCATCTCTAGAGGCTGTAACAAGGAATATGAGAATTGCCTTTCAAAGTGGAGATTTGGGAGAAAAATGACATGTGTCTTCAGTAGGAAGTGGAAAGGTTCTGTTTGACACAACTGTGTAATTACACAAAGGCTATCTTTTCTCAATTGGGCTTATACGTTGGGTTCCTTATATTCACCACAACTTAGGTATTCAACTGAACAGTTACCATTTTGCCTACAATTCCGAAGACCTTTTAAAATTTACCTGTTTTCTGCGCCACACATTTCAAGTCTCCTGTGATCATAAGTATTCATGTTTGCCACCCTGAGTAGAGAGAGAGATATATACCGATTCTTCATCAGCTACAAAGTTGATTTTGACTTTACCAACAAGAACAATTAAAAACATTTTTGTTTGCTTTTGTGAGATGCTGCTCAAAAGATACTGGACTGTTGCTGTAAAGTCACGTCTATGAACCCAAGAGCATGATTCCAGGACTAGATGTAAAAGTGGCTGTATTTCAGAAATTTTAAAATCATGTTTCTTATCTGTATGAACTGTGTTTAATTCTAAGGTCTTATGTGCATAGAAAAAGACTTGCAACTATTTAGCACGAGCAGGGAGCGTTGGTGGGGCGCGGGGGCTTATTTGCTTCCATGGCGTGAGGTCTTTAAGCCTCGCAGTTCTTCATTTCCCATCGGTACAGGCAGCAGGAGTTAGTCTGTTAGCGTTTCCCTTCTCCCAAGCTCCTGGGACGGGTGGCTGCTGTACAGGCATAACTGCAGGTACTGAGCACGAGCCAAAGCTGGTCTTAAACTAGGTAGCTCAGTAGCAGCTGAGAGGATGGCTGTGTGAGCAGGGGCTTCAGCACGGGAGCTGCTCCGCTACCGGACAGATTTTGCAACCTGGGCTGTATTCTGAGCTGCCGGAGTTTGCGGTTTGAATAGACCTGGTCAGTTATCTTCGTGCAAACTGCAGCTGCTTTGTGCAGTGTAATTTAGTGGTAGCTTTACTTCCAGTGAGGCCACGGTAATCTATGGAAGCAGAGCAAACGAAAATCTTGGTGAAATGGGAGCATAGTCATGCAGGAAGAGCGCTGGATGTTCACGTCAAACTGCAAAGCTGGGCAGCCACTGCTGTGGTTCCCCAAGTCAATTCTTTTCCTTAGCTCTCTCCTTTAAACCTGTTTTTCCCTATGAATGATAAGCCATACCAATGTCTCCTTTACTGTGCAGTGAAACTGTCCTCAAAGTAGGATTTTTAATCCAAAGATAACAATAAAATTGGAAAAGTTTGAATCTGCAGAATTGTGTACTCTGAAAACATGTGGGATCAGCAGGTACAGCAGAATTTCTAGAAAATGTTCGTTTGCTGCACGAGTTTGCAAATTGATTCCAGCTTTTCTCTCATTTTCATCAGCATAGGTGTTTAATGGCCCCCATTTGTAGAAAATAGACTTCTGCAGGATTTTTAGAAGCAGTCAATAGAATACTGCTTTATTTGACTTTAAATTGATATAAAAGACACAGGATGTGTTTCTGAGCATAGGGACTTGTTTTCCATATAGTTGATGAAAAGAACATGCAGTAGTGTGCTTTTTAAAGTATTTTACAATTATTTTAAGGAAAACTAGAAATTAAATTCTAAAAAGAAGAAAATGACTACTTTTATTAATCCAAAAGATGCAGTTGGAGGTTGAAAGTGACCTCAAACAAAAAGAATACAATTATTCTTTTTTCATTTGCATCCTTGTAGTTTGGAATTTTAAGGGAATGAATGAATCTGCACATCAGCAGTATACTAGTTGTAGACTATGCTAAAGATGAAAAAAGAAAACTTGTGTACTCTATTGGGCAGAGCCCATAAATACTGCTGTTCAGCTCCGGTGATGAGTTTTTACTAAGCAGCTGTGTTTCCTTTAGCCACCTGCATTCTGCGGTGAGAAGATGCACAGCCCAGCACCTCTCGGACATTGTAGAACGTATGGGGCCGGAGCGGGTCCTGTCTGGAGCCAAAGGGGTTGCTGACCGGATTTTCCCTGCAATAGCCAGGTTTGCACAGGACAGTTCCCAACAAACAAGGTTAGCAAAGTTTATAGTTAAGATAAGTACGCTCCAGGTGGCTGAAACCTCTGCATAGCTCAGTGGGTGTTCCTCTGCAGTGACGGAGGATAGAACTGTAGAATCATTCAGGAGGTTGGAAAAGACCCTAAAGGTCATGGAGTCCGACCGCTACCTAACCCTGCCGGGACTGTTAAGAGAGCATATGGGACAGGAATTACCTGAGTGCCTGCTGCAGCTGTGCCCACCCTGGCCGCAGGGAGGAGAGGGGCCCAAAGGACATACTCTGCTGGGCACAGATGAGGTGTAAGCCACGGAGGGAATGCTGGCACTGAGATCCACGCTGTCTGACTGACAAAGCTGGACCATCCTATTTAAAAACGGCTGAATTGGAAGACTGTTCTCATCAATTTGCTCGGTTGTTGATTGCTCGATTGTTGGTTACACATCTAGATAGGAATCTTCCTGCACTTTTATATTTTGGAATTTTACGGTTGGACTTGATGATCTTTGACGTCTCTTCCAACCATAAGGATTCTATGATTCTAGACGCTTATAATTATCAACAGAGTTACAAAGCAAATCTGTGTTTATGGATGTTTATGTCATGGCCTGTTGCCTTGCAGGTATTACGGTCGAAAGATGCTCTTCAGTATGATGACTTGTCCCGATTTTGAGAAAACGCTTGAAGAGTATGTGCCAACCAAGGATTTGCCTTACATTAAGGAATCTGTTAGGAATCTACGTGAAAAGGTACGTGGAAAAGCTCTTGTTTAACAGCTGAGAAAGCTAAACGCGTACTAGTGGCCGTTAGGTGTAGACAATGGACCTTCAGGGAACGGGGCGAGTGCATTCAGAGCAAGACAAGGAATCACATGCCTACAGCACGGCAGGGTACTGTGCGTTAGCTGCCCTGTGCATGTCTTTACTCCTTGCAGATACACTGGATGAAATGTGCTTAGCATGGCTGTCAGACTTGCTTTTCCGGGGTCTCCAGCAGCGCAGAACTGTATCAGCCACGTTAATTAACGGTTGCACCTTTGTGCAGGGTTTGGGGGAGATGCCTTTAGAGACACCTTCAGCAAAAGGAAGACCTTCCCATACTAGTACAGTTGGACATTTGAAGTCATCATCTACTACCAGAGATGCTCTCAACATCGCTGACGGGTAAGAATCTTTGGTGTTTTACCCTGTTAGTAACTTACCCTCTAGGATAATAGCCTCGCCACAAGGACAGAGTATAGAAACATTCACAACAGGGTTGTGAAAATTAAACATACCTGAAGGAAGAGGAAAAAATTGACATGTCCCAGATAAACTCTTTTAAATAGGGTAATTGGTGATATTAAAATGGCTTTGTGCGTTTTGAAGTTAATTTGTCTTTTGACTGCCTGTGAAATTACACACAGTACACAGAACACTGGGAATTAGCAATAGATCCATGTCGCCATCAGTTCAAGATATTGCTGTTCAGACTGTATAGAAAAAATGTGCCAAATGGTAGCTGCAGTACAAATTATCTATTTGTGCACTTACCCAGACACTAAGTAGTTAGATCCTAACTGGTGATGCTGAAAGCTTTAGATGATACTCTGTCCATCTTTAGTTTTCTGTTTTGTCTTCTAATTGGTCTTCTACCGAACTGTAAAAGAAACACCCACAAAATTTAAGCCAAGCCAAAAAACCGAATCCAAGAATATAGAGTTCATAGGGGCTGTGACTGCCTCCAGGTTGAAGACAGTGTGTGATAATTCAGGAACAGATTTCTTTAACACGGTCTCTACTATTCATAATAATAAGTAATTCCACATTTGATGGTAAATTTTCTTGGGCATGTAAAACTACATGTCTGCTTCCTTCGAAGAGGTGCTGCTTACTGCATTACGCTAAAGACTCTCTTCTCTTTGGTTCAGGTGCTTTTAGCCGCCTGTGATACACTAGCAGGACAGGAGGTGGTGATGCCGCCTTTTGTTCTGGCAGAGCTGCTAGGTTTGAATCTGAAAAGACAAGAAAGATGCTTATTCCATTCTCCATCAAAGACTTCTGTTCAATAACTAGGAAAGAGCACACAACTCTTTCTGGACTGGTCTGTAAATGCAGGGTACTGACCTGGACAGACAAGTGATTCTACAGATTTTATAGTTCTTTCCATCACTGCCTAATAAAGATTAGATGCTACAGAAAATTTATTTCAAATTGTTGAATTTCCACCTCAGCGTGGCATGTTTCTTAGGTGCCACCTAGACTGGGATCAGTGTTTAAAGTACTTTGGGAATAAAGAATTGAACCCCGGTAACTCTTTGTGGTTTTGGTTTTTGTTCTTTTACCCATTGATGTGAGGGAAGTTCACAACTGTTCCTGGTCACAAACCCAGCTGCTCTCATGCAGAAACTTGGAACAGCACAGGGCTTCGGCCTCGTTGAGGCTTACCTCTTGTGTGATGATAGGTATATGTGCATTTAGAGTGGAATGTATATTGAGACTTTAGGAACAACAATTACTATTAGGTGATTATTTTTTTAAATCACCATGTTTAAAGTGAAAGTCCTTCATCAGAAGATTTTCTGTTTGCTTCTGATATTTGCCCTTACGTGGAAAGAGCATGGCTGAGGTTAAAGGCTCCGGTTTCAGCTTGCCTGTGTGTTCACTGGATAACTTTTTGCTTTCCAACAGAGAGACTGCAGAAGCCCGTGAAGTCACGAGAAAAGCAGCTCCTCGTAATTCACTAGAAAGCGAAGAGTATGTTAAAGACATTCTGGGTTTACTGAATGCAAAAGACTTCCGTGATCGAGTAAATGGCATTAAGCAGCTGTTATCGGATACAGAGAACAATCAGGGCTTTGTGGTTGCAAACATTGTGAAGGTAACTGTATGAAAACATTTTATTTCAAAGGTCTTTAAAGTTGTGTCACAAAGTTTTCTGATCAAAATGTTGCCTCCCTCTTTCAATAAGAAGGTCTGATGAACAGGAAAATGTTGAGGAATAGGTGAGGTATGCTCAAGGGGGAGATATGTAAGCTACAAAGGTAGTAAAGGAATAAACAGGAAGAAGAAGCTGAAAGTTTTCACTTAGAGATAGCACTCTTTGAACTGTTTCTGGAATAGCGCGTGCAGTTTTTCTTGCCGCTGCTGAGAAAGTATCAAAATACTGGAACAGGTTACAAAAAGAGCAGCAAGGATTAATCAAGATCTGAAAAACTGTCTCTGAAACACTGCTGCAAGTTGTGCCTGCTTTGTTTGTCTAGGAGGAGGTAAGGAAAGGTCTCTGTTATGATAAAGCTTAAGGTAATTATTCTTTCTAATAGGAAAGGAGGTTCTTTAGGAGAAAAATACTATGATGAGGCCCAACAGTTGTAAACTAAAGATAGGTACAGTGAAAGGAAAACCAAGATTGGCTTCTAATAGTCCAGTGTCTTTACTGTGGAACTATGAAATACTGCTGTGGAACTTGGCAATATCTTAAGTGTGAATGTTTTTGAAATCTTGAAAACATGCTTTTTGCTAAATAGAGCTATGTCTTGCTAAAAATACTTGCTTGCAGAAAATATTAGTCGTAGTGAAAGTTACAGATGGCTCGTTTACCTCCATTACATTGTATAGGAATGATTCAAATTCAGATGAGGTGAGATACAGTTGAATAATCCACAGTATAAAAATATCAAATCTTGCTTTACTTGCTAAAAAAAGTATCTCAGGTATTTGCATATCACAGCCATCTTTTGCTGAGATGCATAATTAAAATGTAACAATATAGCAGGAAACGTAATATCCACCTCAAACATTAATTGCTAATTCCGATGAATGCTGTTTGGATACTTTTTCAGATCTTTGATGCTTTCAAGTCTCGCTTACATGACTCAAACAGTAAAGTTAATCAAGTTGCTTTGGAGACAATGCACAAGATGATTCCATTGCTGAAAGACAATTTATCACCTGTGATCAACATGTTAATTCCTGCCGCGGTAGACAACAACCTGAACTCCAAAAATCCAGGGATTTATGCAGCTGCCACGAACGTCATTCAGGCTCTGTGTCAACACTTAGGTAAGTAATTTACTCTCTTTTCATGTTAAAGAGTTTGAATAGTATGAATTAAATTATAAATTTAGAGCGTTACTCTTTCCAAGAGTTTTCATCCAATGTGTGACGAATCATTGTTTTTATTCTCACACTTTTTAAACCATGGAAGTCATCGTAATGTTTTGCCAGTCCAAAAGGACATACAGGCAGCTGGTCTTGTCATAAGTGCATAGGTGTTTTGTTATTTTTCCATAGCAGCTGTTTTTTGCTGTGAGAGTGAGTGAGCACTGGCACAGGTTGCCCAGGGCGGCTCTGGATTCTCCATCCTTGGAGATACTCAAAAGCCCTCTGGACACGGTCCTGGGCAACCGGCTGTAGTGGTCTTGTTTGAGGTGGGGGTTGGACCAGATGCTCTCCAGAGGTGCCTTCCCACCTCAGCCACCCTGTCTGATTCTGTGTTTCATTGTCTGGAAGCTTGTCCCACTGCTGGATCTTTTAACCGGCTCAAAGAACTAGATTCTTGCTGATCTGCATATGCCACAACTGTTTTCCTTCCTCAACTATTTTAACTTTGGAGCAGAATCTTAGTATTTTCAGTAAATGAATATGCTATGCTCTACCAGATGCTAGGAGTTAGGGCTTGTTAAGAGTATCTTTTTCTACTTTTATGCCCTTAAATATGTCGCTGTGTTTTTTGAAGTTAATATATCATCGGTAAGGTTCTTATTTACATTTTTCCATATTGTGTTTATTTCCAGACCATTTAATTTTCTGTTTAAGAATTTTAATGTGTTTTGCTCTTTGCATTTAGACAACTATTTGCTCCTCCAGCCATTCTGCGCAAAAGTTCGGTTTCTGAATGGAAAAGCAAAACAAGACATGACAGAAAAGCTTGCTGGTAAAGTGATGTTTTATTTTGCATGTTTGTTTGTTTGTTTGTGTACCATCCTAATTAGGCAAATTCATTGTAGGATGGTGGTGGCTATACATCCTCCCTTCTGTCACCGTAGATTGTGGGCAATAACAATGCACCAGTTGTCAAATTCCACCCCCTTCTAATGCAATTTGAAGCTATTGCTGACAAAACAAGAGATGATTATTATACAGTCAGATGGAACATGTATAAGGACGTGGAAGATGTATGAATCCCTTAAGCTTGTAATAATTTTAATACGGAATCAGAGAGAATGAGTTCTGTTTTGTCATGAGTTTCACTCTGTCAGTAACTGAGTGGGAGGTACTGTCCCGAGGCTTAGGCCTTCTTCCTAAACTGGTGTCAAAAGCTTAAAGACAAATTTACTTTAAAAATTGAAGACAAATTTTAATTAGAATTTATTGACATATTTTAATTTGGGGGATTATTACTAGCGGAAGTGCTGAATTTGCCTTTGATGTTTTAAGTGAACAAGGGATGTCTTTACAGGAAATGTGCTTGAACCAAACAGACGTTATTTGGCTTACTGTCAGAGTAGTTCTCTGTGCAGTAGCTATGACATTGAACTAAAAACCATAATGGACAGTCTGTTCTTGAAGTATTCCTAAATTTATGCTTTCTGAATATGTTAGTCACCAACCTTGAAATAGTTCATCTCTTGCTGGGATTTTTTGGAGTGGTTTGTATTATGTATCAGAAGAGTCCATTTGAGCAAAAAGGCAAACATTTGCAGGGGAAATACTTCATTCTTGATGTCATTGTCCAAGTAGGGAAAATGCTTCACCTTATCTATGTTTATAGTATAAGGCTACTTTGTGCCTTAAGCTCAAATACCTACTGAGTATTTCTGAGATAGAAGGGAAATCCTAAAATATCAGATGTTACACAGTACGCTGTAAGAAATAAAGGTCCTTATGATAATCCTAACTAAAAAAAAACCCCAAACTTTGTTTCTCTTACTTGTTTTAATTTAATGGAAAATTGTCATGATCAGCAGTACCAGTGCTACTGCGTAAACCCCTGAGAGAGGATAAAAGGGGTGTTCATAGGAAAGCTGGTATATTTTATCTGAGTGCCGATGCTGTTGCAACAACAGACAAGCTCTTGTGTGTAGCAAGCATTCCTTCATTAGTTGCTTTGAGGAGATGATTTGACATTAAGTGCTTTTAAACACCTCTCACAGCAGGGGATCACTTCTGGATCGTATTTTAAAAGTAGTCTTCAAACAGCGCTTGATGACCTGTTCCCTTTCTTGCAGATCTTGTCACGGAGTTATACCCACGGAAGCCTTATGCCGTGGAGCAGAAAGTTCTGGTTGTCCTTTGGCACCTCCTGGGAAACATGAGGAACAGCGGCTCTTTGCCTGGAGCCGGAGGAAATCTCCGCACAGCCACAGCGAAGTTATCAAAAGCACTTTTTGCGCAGATGGGTCAACGTCTGTTCACTCGCGCTGCATCTCAGCCACCGCACATCAAGAAGAGTTTAGAAGAATGTTTGGAGATGGCAACCTGAAGTAACGATCTCTGGGTTTGTGACACTCAGTCAGCCGACGGGCTCGGGCACAGGGACAGCTGTTCGCACCGAGAGAGGTGGGACTGTCCCCGTGTTGGTGGCTGGCAGTGCCCGTGTCTGTC